CCTTTACTGTATTTAATTCACTTTGAAATTTACTAATGTTTTCCATTTGTACTTCTCGCCACCGTTGTTGACTTTCTTGTAGTTGCTGCTCACTTTCCCGCGACTGTTGGAGACTTTCTTCCTGTTTCCTTTCTTGTTCCAGGTGCCACTGCTGTAGTATCTCTTCTTGTTTATTTTCTTTCTCCTCCAACCACTGCTGTTGTCTCTTTTCTTGTTTCTTTTCTTTTTCCTCCAACAACTGCTTTAATCTCTCTTGTTTATTCTGCTGTTCGAGCTGCCACTGTTGCAATCTCTCTTCTTGTTTCTTTTCTTTTTCCTCCAACAACTGCTGTAATCTCTCTTCTTGTTTCTTTTCTTTCTCCTCCAACCACTGCTGTAATAAATCTTCTTGTTTCTTTTGCTGTTCTTGTATTGCTGCCATCAAATCTGCTAAGCTGTAGTTTGATTTGCCACTTCTTGTTTCCATTTTTTTTCTTTTCTGTCTCACTTTCTGACACCAATTTGTTACATCTCTGGTCGTTTATTAATTTCTGGTATAAATTCTTCCCGAGGAACTTCAGCGATACAAGTCCTTTCTTAACTAAAACTAGTTTATTCTTTCTCGATACAACTTTGCAATACACAGAATTTCCACAGTCACTTTAACTGAAACACACGCTATAATTCACAACGATTCATGCACTTTTCTTACGGTCGCTACCACTCGTTTGACTCAATTATCTGTCTCTATATTGCTCTCTTCAATCTGCTATTATTCATGCCGTCAATCCTCCTCTCCACTTTATTTGCCAGGCTAAAATACAAAAATAGAGGGCATATGGCAAACACCAGAGTTGCCAGGAACAGTCATGATCCTTCTAGAAACTCATGACGTGTTACCAGCGTCACGTGACTTCCGCTGTCGTAACAAAATATATGTTATTGTCCGATGGGTAAATTGGGATTTTTGTCGGGATGCTTGTAGTGTCCACTCAGGTTTAAGGAGTTGAGCATGTTTTAGACAATGTTGGAGGCTTAAGTGTTGTAACTATAACTATGCAGTTACAAGCGTTTTTTTAAACAAACAAGGAAGACGAAGTAAAAACCTAATATTCTGAACATTTTTCAAGAAGCCTAAATTTAAAGTCAAAATAAGTTATAATAATGTAAATCAATTTTGTAAAAATAAAACTTTAAATAACTACAAATTTATCTCACAAAGTTTGAAAACCATTAGTGAAAGAATAAGAATAAAACTAGAAAGTCTATTCAGATAAAGTATTATTGTTTTAATAACTGTTTGACTACTCCTTGCTAGCTGTTGTAATGTTTTGCTTTTTACAATAATGGTATGACACAAGTTGACTTTGTAAAAGTTAGCTGTGTAACACTGCAACCAAATTTTTACTATTTTTTTACAGGAAAAAAAAAAAGACTTCTTTTAAAATGATATAGTATTTTGGATTAATCAGTGTCAATGATATGGTCCTAAAGTAACCTAAATATGTTAAATAAAGTTGAAATAACATTAATATATTCTGTGATACAAAAGATTCAAGAATTATAGCTTTACCTCATAAAGTTTAAAACTCAATAGGGAATATGTCATAAGAAACCTCAAGAGTCTAATCAAATAACATTAGTTCTATTGTGAAGGTAACACCAGTTAAACTCAACTTATATTGAAGTTACAAGGTTCAAATTGATAATATTATTCAAACCATTTTGACTTTCCTCTTAGGGTGCCTATGAGTACCATATTATGATCACAAAAATCCACAAACATTAATGTTTCATTCTGAGTGCACCAAAATCAACCCAGGATCAAAATATGCAATTTAAATTTTTCTATGTACACAATATTTTTATAACTGAAATATTAAACTAAAATAAAAACAAAATAAGAAGAAGAATGATTAAAAGTTTACAATTTTGCTATCAGGTACACTCAGACAGGTGCCAAAAGGTTAGTAAATTATATGAAAATAAAAATATGTGTATAAAGATTAGTTACATTCACATTGTCTTTAAACTTGATATGATTCATGTGGAATGATTTAAGTTATAGCATTTTTTGTAAAACAAAATCAAGTTTGTTTATTAATTACCATTTTGCAATAAATGAAAAACTAATTAAATAAACAAAAAGTGTTTTTACGCTGCATATGATTCTAATGCATTCAGTGATGCCTAACTTATTATTTCTCTTTTCTTTTTATGTTATTGCTATAAAAGGTACATATAATGCGCAAATAGAGGCTTAAATAACAAAAAATACTGAAATATTCTTTAAATTAGGGATTATATTAATCAATAAAAAACACCGCTTATAACTCAGATCAGTCAGTTTGCTTCAGAATTTTGCACAGGGTTACACAAAAACAATATGCACATAACCATTCCTAATTCCTTATAACTCAGATCAGTCAGTTTGCTTCAGAATTTTGCACAGGGTTACACAAAAACAATATGCACATAACCATTCCTAATTTTGAGCTGATAGATAAAAGGGAAGGAAGCTAGTTAACAACACCCAGAACAAACCCTTAGGCTATTATTATCTGATTGAATAAAGGTAAAACAATTGTATATATAACTAATATATACTGTTTTGATATATGGATAAAATAAAAAAAATTTAGTTATGATTAGGTGTTGTTGAGTGGAGTGTAACAGTAAAATTTGTAACAAATGCACAATTCTGGTCTGTTCAATACAAATATATCTATTTCTTATTGTTGGAGCACATTAAAAAGCAATTACATTTACTTCATTCAAATGTAATAGCATGACTGACAAGTGACTTACCTTAATTTCTCAAGTGGAGGAAAATCTTCTGAACATACCATTTCATGAGATGGTTTCTTCCAGGAATTTTTTCTTCTTGACGTAAGGTAAGATGAAGAATCAAATTACTAATACTTTATATATATATATATATGTTAGTACAAACCATTTAATTTTTTTATGAAGATGCTTATGTAAAACTAAATCTGGTGTAAAATATGCAAGTTACCTGACACTGTCAGATCATCTTTAGGGTCAGGGCAAGTAAGACCTGGAGTGGTAAATACATATAAAGATAGTACATCCTTTTTGAAATATGCACTACTGATACACATGACAAGGAGAAGACACACAAGAAACTACTTCAAGCTTGACAGAGTCAAGTACATACAAATCCCTTTAAGAAGAGTGGCTAATTATAAAATCTCCCCAAAGTTCTAGATAAGCATCATGAAAAGCTGAAAAAACTTTTCAATACTGAATACTTTCTTGAACAAAGCAAGTAATCATTTGGGAATAGACCATATCTTGATACTTCCTATCACAACAATTGCATAAACCCTATGAGCACGACTCAGCTCTTCTACATGTCAAAACCTTTTACGGTTTGGTTTCAAAATTTAATTAAATAACTATTATTAAATATTCAATAAAATTAACATCAAAATGTAGTTTATAATTTAAATTTTTATAATATCTAAGTTTTAAAAGAAAATATTTTAAAAATTCTCAATCTTAACAGTCACATCCAACCACTCTGAATTTTCTCCTTTTATTAGTGTAACTACAATAGCCAAACATGTACACTTTCTATGTTATGTAGATGTAATCTATAAACAATTCCACAGTTTAATGTACAGTTTCAACATCCTAACTTTTCCTTTTTGTGAGATATCAATAAATTTTCCCACTCAACAATACAACCCCCGACTATCAATTTTGAAAAATACCTTGTAAGTGAAAAACAGATGGACAGGGATTCTTAGTATAAAAATCACTTTCCACTCAGATTAGCCAAAGACAGACCAACTCATTACATTCATAGATAAAGTTTTAGTAAAAATACTGTATAAAAAATCTCATTTTGTTTGCACAATGGATTTGCAGTGTTCACAAAAAGCTCACCAAATTCTGTGAAGGTACACTTAATAAATTTGCAAATATAGTAAATATTGCTATATACAGCTTCACAGAAATGGGTTGTCAGAAAACACCAGCACTGTCTTGATAGTGTTAATGCTACCCACTGCCACTTCCCATGTTTAGATGTTTTCATAAAGAAATGTATTATGTGAGACAGACATTGCTTTCTGAAGGAAACAGCTATGAATGATCTGATCTGTATTTCTGATCCCTTATTGTATGATTCTAAAAAAGCTATTAAACTATAGATCAGACAGCCAGTCTTGTTACACAGGAAGATAGTCTTCAAACAGTTTATGAGTGACTTTCCCACAATCCCATATGAAATTGACCTAATACATACACGAGGTTCTATATATTTCAGCAGGTTGTTACAATTTCTCATCCAATAGAACGTTATAATTTTATATAAAAGTTTATAAGTCAAGCAAGGTAGAATAACGGAATCATAAGTTAGTCAAATTACTACAAATGTTCTAATAAACTTTGCTTTTCTCATTACATATAGTTTTGTACTGTTTATAAATAATCATTACATTCATTTATGTCTGAAGGACAAGATTTGGTTTGAATTACATGCAAAGGTACACAAGGGCTATCTGAACTAGCTGTTCCTAACTTAGCAGTAATAGACTAGAGGAAAAGCAGCTAGTCATCGCAACCCACTGCCAACTCTTTTACCAACGAATATAGGGACTAAGCATTAAATTATAATGTCTGCACAGCTGAATGGGTAAGCAAGTGTGGTAACAGGGATTCAAACCCACAACCCTCAGATTGTGAGTTGAGTGTCCTAACCACCAGGCCCTTTCTCTGCCACTGACGATACTGGAAAATAATTCACTTAGAGTACATACTTGTCTCTCATAAATAAGTGTATGATTATAGAAACACCATAATATTTTATTAAATATGTGTGTGTTTGTGTGCATGCTCTTGTGCATATACGAATATAACTGAAAAAAGAGTTTATTACCTATCATGTTGATAATCTGTCTTTGATTCCCTTTCTCTTTCATCACTGGAAAAGAGGCTTTTGGGTTGGTATCTTGAAATTTCTTTTCTGGATAGAAAAGTTATATTTTGGATAAAATATAACACATGTAAAACATCTTTTCAAGAACATAGGTATTAATAGCATTGAAAGTTTTTATGTAAAAGTAAATAATGCACTCAACAAAACACAGCTTTTTAATAAAAAATAAAAATTTCTAAATCTAAACTGTTTCTTCAATAAGGATTGAAAAAATACTGTGTAATGGTGGGTTCAAAACTTTCTGCTTTTAGAAAATAAAATCCCTCTTAACTGTACAACATTCATAACAACGTTATACACTTAGTATTAATGTAGTGCAATACCATAATTCTACATAAATTTTGAAAGTTTTTGATCTACATATAATGTCAAGTTAATTTCCCAAGACGTGCATTTGTATTTTACTTAATCATATGTAATTAATAAATTTTTTCTTTGGTTTATATGATGCATGTATGTATGTATCTATATTTGTTTGTTTGTGTGTGTATATATATATATATATTTTTTTTGTTTACAGTTTTACTTCCCATGCAATGTGGTTCTTTATGGGCACGTACTTTTTCATATATATTAACCAATCACTAAAACAGTCATTTAATTTCATTACTGTCATCATATTTTCAGGTAAACTAATTTCCAAAATTAGGTTGGTCCCCTACAAAAAGGGAGGTTCAGCAGGATAAATTATAAAGCAATACTGAGTTCCACTAAAATTTCCTATTAACTGAGTCTGTGCTGAGAAATAAACATACAGAAAAAAAGTGTAAATACACAATGAAAAATGACTTTCATTTAACACAGTACAAATCAACACCGTATGTACTTTATTTTTTGAGAAACAGACTCCTATACTGGAGCTGTGAATCAATCTCACTCAAGATGATGTTCCAGACAGACTCAGGGTACATCTTGTACCAGACTGGCTAAATTTCATGTTATTTAATTTAAAAGGTAATGTCAAACTATCCAAAGAGACTAGTGTTAGCCACAAAGCTGGTTATTCCCATTCAGACATAAGAGTGGTTTTAACCTTGAGATATCACCCAATCTACCATACATACCAAAATACTGAATACAAATAAATATTAAGTGAACAAGTCCAACTTTGTTTCACACCAAAATAATTTTAGTGCCATCTATTTGACTTTCTACATTTCCTTATTTCTTTCAACCACAATTTAAGAGATTATTTGTTCACATTTGTCCATTTATATTTCAAAATGGAAATTTACCACATATATTCCAAAATTATAGTGTTTATACATCAAATTACTAATAGTGAGTACTATTCTTACTCACCATAGCCAAGAATTTTAAGCTGCATCATTTTATTATTATTATTAAATCAAAGTATTCACTAGTTTATTTTATTAAACACTAAACATATTTTATGAGATTGTTATTTGTTCTAGTTAATGCAGAAAACAAAAGTAAATGGCAAATAAAGAATTTATGAAATTAATCTGTGAAATATTCTTTGTCCGCAGACAAAACGAGAAGTGGAAAATTTTATATTAAAATAGTTAAAGTCTTAATGTTCAGAAAAACTAACCAGTATTACAAACTCACCTACTTCTGGTACTTGAAATTTCAACAATGTTTTGTATATTACTTTTGTATGATGTAAATTATGAAATGAACTTGCAGCCTGCACACACACACACACACACACACACACATATACGTATATAGAGAGAGACTGCATAAAAATTAACATTAAACATAACTTAAAAATGATGTGCTTAAAAGAAGAACTACACAAAAATATGACTAAAGCTAAAAAGTTAAATACCATGCATGCTTTTTAAACTTACACAAGTTATGAAGAACCTTTCATTCTATTCATATGTTCTTAAAATAAAATATGAACCCATATTTTAATATTTTTAACAGCTAGTTTCAGTATGTAGCTGTCAGAGCTATATAAGAAGTTATAGAGGGATGAGAAGTAACAAGGCAAGAATAATATAAATACATGATTATTTTTGAATATTAATGAACAAAAAGAAATTTCTAAAGTAGAATTGTCCTTTTTAATATCTGGAACATGCTGAACCACATTTTCCTAGTCCAAATTTAAATTTTTAGATGCAAAACTGTGATCAAAGTTAACATATCTGTACTCATTTGGACTTGTTAAATTACAAAAAAATTATATTTTCAAAATATTATTATGCACTTTTTGTAGGGTAGCTTGGTACATTTTTGTAACACCAGTAAAGTACTTTTGTGCAAATATAATTATTCTATTGTGTAGTGACAGTTTATGTAGTACAGGGAAGCAATATATTTTTCCATCTCTTTAATATATATATTTATCAAAACATATTCCTAATTAAAATACTGAATACAAAATAAATATTAAAACCATGTGCTAGCCTTGAGTAATGATTATAGTTTTACTAAAATTAGCTTAGTATTGTATTATTGATAATAATATATGTATTAAGACTTATTTTAATGTTAAAACTTAATTCACCTTTTGTTTGCTGATCTATCATTTCTCTCTCTTAAAATAGTTGTGGACATCCTCACTTTGTTGAACTTTGAAGTTTTGATATTTTTACTTGTACTACAAGTTGTAGCTACTCCTCTGTCTCTCTCAATTTGTTGCCTGAAAGTTAGTTAGAAGTTAAAAATCTAATTAATAAACCTTTATCAAGTTTAACTAAGTTATGCTTATAGTCTACCACGAAATACTACTTTAAACTTAGTTTTAATAATTAATGCCACTCTTCCCTCCGTTACAGCGTTAACCTTTTACTGTTTTACTTTAACTGGTACTAGTAGTACCTTAGAAATAGAAGTTAGAGTTTGACTTTGAGTGTTTCACTTGCTTAAGTTTCTACGTCGAACATAGTTATAAACTTATCTTCTACTAAGTTATAGTATAAAAACAGTATTAGTAGCTAGATTTTGATATCAAATCACAGAACACTTCATCAGACAAAATAAATCAAAATGATTTACCAATCTTTTTTTAAGTGTATTATACGATCAATACATTGTCCAAAACATGCAAAAGTTTCCACGTAGCTTTCATTAGATTCAACCAATCTATTCACACTATTTCACAAGTGAATAAGTCCAACTTTGTTTCGCGCCAAAATAATTTTAGCGCCATCTATTTGACTTTCTACATTCCTTATTTAATTCGACCACAATTTAAGAGATTATTTTTCCACATTTGTCCATTTATATTTCAAAATTGAAATTTACTGCATATATTCCAAAATTATAGATGCAATGTTATATTAGCTATTTGTGACGTCATTGAACAGGCGGGCGGTTTCGAATCATTGACTCGATTTCTGTGCAACGCCGGATAATATATTTTGTCTCTGTTAACGGACCGTATGGACAGAAGCCCGACATCAAATTACTATTTGCACTGAAATTTTAACTTATACATTTGCAACGGAGAGTCTGTCTTGATAAAGTTATTATTAGGTCAACACTTCGCTTAGTAAATTTAGGTTTGGCTTCAAAATTTCAACTTTTTATGTTGTTTATTTAACCCTGTGACATCGATGTTGAGTGACGTAGGAAAAGTAAGTTTTAAATTTTATCATTTTATTCTAGACTTCATTAATTTTAACTGTGAATTCTGTAATTTATATATTTTTTCAATTGAATCATATTAATATTATGACTTGATTCATTAATTTTAACTGTGAATTCTGTAATTTATATTTGTTCAATTTATTCATATTAATATTATTACTTGATTCATATTAATTGTTATTTGAATAGCTTCAAATGCATGTCAATTTGATTTTCCATTTCCAGTTTTTATATTTTGGTTAATTACTGGTACTAACTACTATTAGTATTACTAGTACTAATAATAAAGTACTATGTAAGTTTGTATTAGATATCCAGTTATATTTATATCGTAACTTTAGAGTACTACTAAGAGTAAATACTAATTAAGGAGAAAAAAATTAACGTTATAAAATCAAGTTTATTGCTAGGCCAATTACTGTTATATAGATTAGTTAATTATAATATTAAAATTTAACTTGTACTTAGCGTTGCCTTATTGGTTATTGCAACTGTAAATTGGAAATTAGTTTAAATTTACTTATGAAAGAAAGTAAAATTAGTTCAAATTTATTAAAATATTTCATTAAAATAGAAATGCATGGTTATTTAGTGTTGAATTATTGTTAAAGAAATGTTTCTTTAGTACCACGTGAGAAAAGCCATATTGTTTACATGTCTTGACCAACTTTTGATTTGATTGATTGCACTATTTGAGTATATCTTGAGTCATTGGATTTCATATTGATGGAGATTGGTATATGATATGAAGAACTGTATTAAGCTAAGCTAACTTATGGTCATGGAGATATCATTCTCCAAAAATATGACCCCTGCCAAAGTTGTCATTACTCCTTCAGAGTAAATGCCAAAAGAAAGCAGCTGTATACTCTGAATACAGCTCAACATTTTGACAAATGTCTGTTCTTTACTAACACATTTTTATGACAGTATAGTGCTATCAATGCAAACTTCCTTTCTTGTTTTATTAGTATTACTGAGTAGATAGCCTTTAATTGCATGAACTGAGCCTTAAAATGTGTGGGACTTATCAGTTATGACATGAAGTTATATCGTTAACACTGCAGAAGTAAGACTAACAGGCTAATAATTTCCAGGTCAACTGATATAATCTCTTTTAAGAATTGGTGTAACATAACAAATTCTAATCCTAAGGTACCTGCACACTGTTTATCTTGTCAAAGTAAGAGAGAAAGATAAACAAATTTTTAAAGTGTTTTGGTTTGTGCTGTTTGTATAAGTTTATAAAGATGTTTATTAATTATGTATAGCATTTCATCTTTTGAAATACTTAACTTAGTGCTGTATTCAAAATATGTTTTGTTGATTAATATTTACTATCTCTGAAATAAAGGTAATCACTTGTCTGATTTGTTCAAAGTGTATTTATGATAATATTCTATAATACGATGTAAGTAATACAAATTTATATTTCTGTAGGTATTCTGTGGACTCAATTAAAAAGACAAAAAATTGCTTTTAAAGAACAGGAAACTTGCAGAAGAACAGAAAAATTAAGTATATATGTATTTGAAAAACAAAACATTATAATTGTACCCTTTTCATTTCTTTGTAAGTCCTATTACAAAGTGAAAAAAGATGCTTTCAAAAAAGAAAAAAATCTTTGATCTGGAGCTTCAAACCTCTCATTCTCCAGAGATTAAGAAGACCAGTGTTACATCTCCAGTGACAGATTTGACCTTGAACTTAAGTGAATTAACCACAGAAAGGTAACAGATTATTTTTGTTATTAAACCAGCCTTCATTTCTTGCATATATATGAACTTGCATAGTGTGAAGTAACTTAAAGCTAGTCTTAATAAATATTAGCTGTTTTTACTTTTAAGTGATTGTACTTGAAATTATGTGGTCATTGTAAGTAAGAAAAACAAATTTTGTGTATGATGGACATTTATCAGTTTTTACCAGGCCTACAGTACCTAAATATATTGGTAATATCCAGTTTAATATTACATTTTTTATAACTTATGAATTAGTATATTCTAGAAAACTGTTGTAATTTGTTGCTTAATAATTGTAGTTCTGCTGATTACCATATTTGAAGCCATTGTAGCTTGTAGTGCATAGCAGCTTTGACATTTACTCACACAATGAAGTAATAATTTCTCACTTCCTTATGTTTTAGTGACATTTTTTTATTATTACTTTTATGTTTTGTGAAGTGGATTGTGCCATATAAATTATTATTCTGGAAAATATTTTTAGTAGTGGTTTTAAATTATTTTTGTTCTTTGGAGTGAATATTAGTAGGTTATTGTAATTATGTTAAGTATTTAGCTGTAGTCATAGTCAGTTATTTGTGATGATTATGTAGTTTTTGAGTGGTGTGAGTAGAATCTTTGAAACTGTTTCAGTCAAAAAAAAAATTTAGTGGCAGGTGCTATCAGCCAGTTGCTTTCCCTCAAGTTAGCAGTTCAAAATTAGTGATAGTAGTAGATAGCCTTAGTAGTTTTATCAAAGACATGATAAACAAGTTTGGCAGTAATAATTTCTTGGATAGTCAGAATAATCAAAAACCCTTCTTTTAATTATTTTTGTGACAACTGACATAAATCAAAAAAGCTATTAAATTGCTTAGATTTAGGTTCTTGTAATATTATTTATTTTTTGTTCTATATATCTGCAGTTTTCAATAACACATAGTTGAGAAGGCTGTCAAGTTAATTTTGATCTAGCTGCCTTTGTTCTCATGTGGATAATACCTGTTCTGCCTAGGGTTGGGCATGTTGCTGTAATACTGCACACTGTGCAAAGTTGTCAACAGCAATGTCATTCAATGGCTATATTAATTGTGTCTAAAGGTTATGACCTCACCTATGTTTTAATGAGAATGACCAGTCACATGGGTAGCCCTGGTAGCTATGGGTAAATGCAGTGTTTCTTGCAAACTAAAGAATATTGAATTTAAAACTTCTAGAACAGGACCTTGAAGGAGGAGCAGGTAAGAGAATCCAGTAAAAGTGACAGTTCCATGTATGTAAAAGTAAGTGCATGCACTGTGTTTGTGTTAGAGTTCTAATAAAGATTGCTCATTTTGCATTCAGTGTCATTATTCCATTTAGCATCATGACTCAGTAAGAGATTTAGCTGCATTTAAGTGAGATATGTTTTTATATTTTGGACAAAACAGTTACTTAGTGCAAACTCACAAGTTGTTATGAGTTATTTCTCACATGTGTTATTGGTGATGTAATTCATTTTATAAAATATAAAGTTCTTACTACAAAATCTTGGAATTCAACATAGCATGTAAAGCAGGAAGTGTGACATTACCATTGGTCTGGTCTCAACATGTGTAGTTTATATACTGTTGAGGTGGATAGTTTTGATAAACCTGATAAAGTTCTGGTTAATGTTTTTTTTTCACTCCTGTTGCCATATGTTACTGGGTAATTATTAATATGTGCATTATCTTTTATAATCACCAAATAACTCTTCTGCTATTGTTTTGTATGTAGTGGTTCTTTTATGGTTTTAAAAAAAGTGTTCAGTTATTTCGGATTCATGTAAACACATGCATTTAATATTTTCAGTATTTTTAGCACACCACGTAAACAATGTAATGACACAGATGATATGCCATTCCTTTCAAGAAGATCTATTCTGGGCTCACTCCAGCTTTCCACAGGTAAAGTATAAAAAATGTAATCACTTTCTTGAGGAAAGAAATAACTGTACATTGTTCAAAATTGTTGACATTTATAAAGATAAGTAATAGGTGTATTTAGATATAAGTAAAGCAGTGAGAAGCTAATGAATTTGATTGTATGATAATAATGTTCATGTCCTGTGCTTCTCTTGGAACTATTTCTTTTGTTATTGATTTACCAATTCTGATAGTTATGATTACACACTTTCATCTGTCAAAATGATTTATGTTGTGAGAAGCAACTGTGAAAGATGGTAAAGTCAATTTTAAAACAATTTTTAATGAAGTTTCCATGGGCCCTCCACTGTGCCTGGATGTTAGCAGCGAAGGTCATCTTTCGCATAAGAACAGAGGTTGATTTCAAGATATAGCTGAAAATTTGTGATTCTTTGTCAACTTCACAAATCCATGGTCGTTATATTATTAATGTTATCAGGAGATATGTCCAACTTCACTCTAATGAAAGTTGTGGTTGGAGGGCTCCCTTTTGTAATCTCTTTCACTTTGCAGATTAGAACATTGTTTTGGATTGGCTTGGATTGTAGTTTCAGAATCTCCTGCTGTTTAAAATGCTATGCTATACAAGTTTTGAGACTTGTACTTGCTTACCCCCTTTCTATTTCTGTGCCATGCCCTTCTAGAGTATCCCAAGGGGTGGTATAGAGACTTGTACAAGTTAGTATAAGTTTGAGTTTTATCTCCTTCGAATATGTGTAATGGGAACAACCACTGACTCAGTTAATTTAATGATTGTAAGATACCTTGCTTGATACAACATTGTGATATTTCGTTATTCTTGGTCTCGTGTTCTTGTTCTGTGTGACCATGAATCATTTTTTATGCTTATTTTTTCTTTATCACACTTGTCATTTGAAATTTTTACAGTATTTCAATAGAATCCAACAGTATGTTATTACTTATTTTGTATGTTTAAAGAATTGTTCTGTTTATACATTGGTTTCTGCTACATTTCCTGTTCAAAATTATTTTCTGCATAAGATTTCTGGAACCTGCATTTTGTGATACTTGATATCTTTCTGCCAATTATTATTTTACTTAAATATGCACATAGAGATTTAGAACATTTTAGAAATATAAAATTATTGATTAAAGAAATTTAAAAGTTTTTAATTAAGGAAGAGCGAAAATTGGAGATGTAAGTAATATGAACAAAAATATAAAGGGGTTAGTAACAGCATAATGGCAAGATGAAAAATCCTGACTGACAACCTAAGTAATAATAATTCATATTATAAAGATATTATCCATGAAAATGTATAGAATATCTCCTGTCACTTTGACCAGTTGGTTTCATCAATTGGTTCAGATAGCTTACTCTGGTCTTTCATTGGAGGAGCAAAGACTTCTTAGGGTGTCCTCATAAAGTTTGACCTATATCGATGTCCCTGGCAGCTTGGTTGTGTCACTCGTGGGAGAGAATTGTACAGGCTGGCATGTGGATCACATCTAACACTTTTATATCACACTATTTACAGGATTTAGTAGTTTTCTCTTCAGATGGGTTTTGGCTACCCTCTGTGGCTATTTTAAAAGTTCCGGCTCGATTGTAAAGAGATGAGTAGCTTCATTCCTTCTCAGGGATCTTCTCATCATACTCAGTTGGATCCCACTCAGTGGTAAGCATTGTCTGGACAGGTATGCATTTACAAATATGCATGAACTACCAGTAGCCTTATAACTAAATTCCTGGTAGCAACGAGCTCTATTGAGATGGGATGTTCCATTAGACTGCTTTGGCACTTTCCAGGTAGTAAACAATTGTTCTATATCAAATATAATATACAATATTGGGCCACCATTCATGGACTATCATGAATAAAGTATAAAGGGACTTTGCCAATCCCTGAATTGAACAATTCGATGTTAGTTTGCACTGTCTCTGGAGCATCATTCCTCAGGACTCTCCAATGAGAGTCAACTCTCCCTCTTCTCTCAGAGATGACACTTCACTATCCGGTTGTGTGAGCATGGCCCTTCTTTTTGGTCATTCTATTACTTTCCGTGATCATGGAGGAGGGTCCTCGGCTCCTCATAATTCTGCACACAGAGTGTCATGTCCATGAGTCATTGGTTGAACTTTGTTTGTTCCACATCTTCTTTATAATTTTGGGGCAGAAGGTGTTGGCCTTGTCTACCAGGTTGAGGAGTTAGGATTTTGGTTTGTAATCCCAGGCCAGATGATTTCTGTTTTTTCAGGTTGGGTAAGGTGTGAATTGGCTCCATAATTCCAAGTTCAGTTTGTTGCATTTTGTGCTTCTTCAAGTTGGAGTGAGGGTTTGTCCATTT